TTAGAATGTCCCATTTACCAACTTGATCGAGGTAAATTAAATATAAATACCACATTATCCAAGTAAATAATTGGATTCGGACAAGAAAGAAAAATTCAACAGCAAACATTTAGACCACACTTTACAAAATCCTTATTATGAAATGGCTATTGAAGAAACTTAAACTATTCTAGGCTAATTTAACTTCGTATTTAAAGTCAAGCCAATAAATAAATAAAAAAAATACAATATAATGGTTGTTCGTCAGTTCGTGTATCAACTAAAATCAATGTGTTATTATACACGTTTGGTCACAAGCGCAGAGCATTTAAAAAAATAGAAATAAATACTTCAAACTGGTGCATGATCAGAGTCTTCAACACGACGGAGAATCGAAAGCGTCTGGCAGCGAGACAGAATGTTGCATTCTTCAAAATAATCATTTTTATACTATCTAGGTATAGATTTCAATAAGTACTGCACGTTTTTATGCCGCAACAAATAATATACGCATTATCATAATACGAGAAAATATATATCGTATATATAAATATATTACGTAGTAGGATCAAAAAGTTCCCGGAATTTATTTATAGAAAAAAAACTATATTTCTTATCAAATATCTGATTATTGGAATGAAAAGTAGACATTATTAGCTATATATAGGTTTAGTTGTTAAAAGTACATTAGTCTCATGTGAGCCGTAATTGAGTCCATACGAAACTGTGTTTACACATTTTTTCAAAATGTCACAATTTGAACAACGCGCTAACATTAAATTTTGTTTTAAACTTGGAAAAACTGCCGCAGAAACGCTCGAATGCTTGAAAACAGTTAATGGTGATGAAACATTAAAGAAAACAGCCGTTTATGATTGGTTTAAGCGGTTCAAAAATGGCCAAGAGTCACTTGAAGACGAAGAGCGGAGTGGCCGGCCGTCAACTTCAAAAAACGATGAAACAATCGAAAAAGTTAAAAACTTGGTGCAATCAGATCGTCGTTTACACATTCAAGATATGGTAAATGTATTAGGAATATCGTATGGTTCAGTTCAAAACATTTTAAAAGATGATTTAGGAATGCGGCGCGTTGTTCAAATTGCGACATTTTGAAAAAATGCATAAACAGTTTCGTATGGACTCAATTACGGCTCACATGAGACTAATGTACTTTTAACGACTAAACCTATAGATAGCTAATAATGTCTACTTTTAATTCCAATAATCAGATATTTGATAAGAAATATAGATTTTTTTCTATAAATAAATTCCGGGAATTTTTTGATCCTACTACGTATATTATCTACCTAAGTGATTCTCAGGTTTCAACTAGTGCAGAATACATAATAATTCGCTTTGGTCTTGTTGCGTCATACTTATTATACCTAAACGAAGTATAAATAAGTATTTATAAATTATGCATGTACGAAAATATAATACAGAAAATAATTACCATATTAATACGATGATATATTGTGATATGTGTGGTCTCTTAAGTCGACCGGTGTTCGACGTGTCTATTCAAAAATACATCGCAGCAACTTGCACAGATCTTAAATTCTGTTAAATGTATTGGTTTAGAAAATCATACACATCATGTGGTCATCCCATAACGAATTAGGAATCGTTTGTTTTCTCCTACCATTAATACAATAGTAGTACAGTAATACATAGAATTTAGATGGTTGATAATACACGACATGGCCTCTTCTAAAATAGGCTGACCCACAACTATAAAATCCTGGGTATGCCACTAGGTAAAGTAAATAAGTTTTTTCTTCTAAAGATGATGTAGTAGTAGAACTAAATTTTTTAATCAGGCTGGTTTAACTTTTCATGTTCTAACTCTTGCAAAAAAAAAAAATAATAATAATAATAATAATCAAAAAGATATCCAGTAGTTCTATAAATGACATTAAGTCGTTGTTGTTCATCCGTATTATAAAACTACGACCGATTGAAATTTGGGAAAAATTGAAAATTCCAAGAGTCTATAATTTTGATTAAATCAATATAAAATGAATACAATGAAATATCTAATTAAGTGGTTACAATCGTATAAATTCTTAACCTTTTCCCACCCATAGTTCCCTTGTTAAAGCTTAAAAAAATATATTATTGCAGTTATAATTTACTACTCTATTAAAGTTATTGTTCATAGCTTCTTATGATATATAGCTTCTTATAGCTTAAAATTACATTAGTTATTAAATTGTATTTAATAAATAATATCAATAGGTACATAAATAAATATCATATTAATATAAATAAATTATTTATTTATATATTCATTTACGAATATTAACAATTTAGATATTCAAAATTATTTTATTAAATAATATCAGTATACAGTAGAAGCCGCTTATTAAGAACACAGATAACTGATATAATCGCGTTATTGAAACAAATTGGTAAATTAAATCATTGTAAATCTGATTATTAAAACAACACATGGGTTATTTGAAACAATAAGGGCCAAAATCACCGAAAAATTCCGGTTATTTAGCGGTAACCAATGTATTATAATTAAAATGTACTTTATCTTATGTCGTTACAATCGATACCAGTCGAACTCTCGGAAGAAGTGTGCGAAGATTGGATTGATGTGGACTCACACCTTGATGTTGCAGAGGTTCCAACAGAATAAGAGATCTGTAATGTGGTTATGAATCCTCAAATAATTTAATATGCTGTCACTGACGACGAAGAAAAAAATGAGGCATCCCCATGAAGTAAAGAAATTGTAAAAGTTTTAAGTGTCTTCAGGAGAGCAGTCTTGCACCGTGCGGATGAAAAGGCTTTGGGCAACATTATTCTTACGAAACCATGATCATCAAGTAACTTGACACAAAACAACAGACAACGACAAACGCATATTTTATTTAGCATCATTTTTTTTACAGTAAATAATTTTTTTAGAATTATAAATTTTTTCATAGTAAATAAAACCAATCGCTTATTGAAAACAATCGATTAATTGACACATTTTACCTTGGTCCAAAAGTGTTCTTAATAAGCGTCTTCCACGGTATTTCTAAATACAAATTAGTTTTTCTATTGAAAACTTTTGAATCATACAACATAAATTACTTATTAAAATGCATATTTCAATATACCTTATATTTAACTGTATTGACTTAGGTAACATTAAATATATAATTCACGAATATATAGTAAAAAAACGCATTATGTCTAAACTATTATATCACATTTTGAAACGCTTAACATTTTAGCAAACAATATTATGAGTAGTATAATTTGAAATGTAATTACTGTCCTCCTTTTCCAATATAATTTTTTTTTACATTTACCATTGTCTAAACTTATAATATATTTGTAAAACATACAGACAGAACATATAATTGCATTTATTCTTGTAAATCTTATTTAAGTATATTAGTAATAACACAGAATTCAAAAAATATATATTTATAGATGATAAATTACAAAAAGCACCTACTGTACATTTTTATTTACTATTGAATAATAAATAATCATTAATATATTTATATATATATATATATATATATATGTACAAATTATAAAATTATAAATGCACAAGTAAGACATAGAGCCGTCTCCATTTCTCCAAATTTGAGCATATACAATATAAATATACATCTATTGTATGATATTTAATATCAAATATTATAGGTACTCATTGGTTTTATACCGTTTAAACTAAATTAAAAGTTATTTTATACGTTTTATAAATTCGTATTATTAGTTTTACCTCTAAAAATTCTTTAAAAATGTCTGATTTTTCACGATCCTTTACTATGTTGCTAATAAATGTTTTATTTAATGTAACATAAACTTTGGTATAAATATTTTTCATTTTAGAGTATTATCCCAATATTATGATTAACCATTATAATGAATTATGATTTACAATCGATTATTTTATACATTAAATAAATTCACTATAGTTAAAGTATTATATAAATCCAAACAAATATTAGTATACATGTGAATATGTCTGTTACTGAGTCTTTTATAGTAAGTTAATCTGTACTGAATGAAATACCATGTAATTATTAAATTACAAAAAAAAAAAATTACACCAAAGTTGAGCATTAAAGTCATATCATTTATCGTTTTTTAATCAATACGTTGTATGTTAACATCGAAGAGATAAATTTAAACATTTATACTATTTCACTGGATGAACAACACATAAGTGTTCGCTTTTTGAATGATTCTCATGACGTACAACAGTTTAATTGTACTGCACATATAAGATTCTCTATATATAATATTACGTATACAGTACAATTATTAAACAGTAAGATTGTGACGTGTATTTTTTCTTTTTTGATATCTCAACGGCAATTCTTCAGTGATCGGATGAAAATAATTACGGATGAGGCATTGCTGGAATGGTAGATACTAGTTCGTGGGCAGTCGCCTTGGAACCCTTTGGTTTGCACACACATCCGCTTTCTACTAAAACGTAATCTTGGCCGGTCAGCGTTACTGGTCCCAAAGGTATTACTAGAAATAGGTATGGTACGTAGGTTTGTGTACATTCTCCCCTCACTACGTCGCATTCGTTAGATCTAATTAAAATCAAAAGATTAAAAATTAAGTAAAAATTGTCTTGCGCTTAATATATTGAACAATACTGGTTAATGGTAGATGGTAGTGTCACTGCAGTGACTCAAGATTGTATCAATCTTATTTTCTGATGTTTTATTACCATAACTAGAAGTCTTATTATTAATAATATGACGACGTCACTTAGAATTTAAGCAGCTAACTCATATGAATGTGCAATAATAATACAAAAAAAAAACTTACACAAAAAAATACTAATGACTATACTTGGTTAGTAATCGGTAAACATTAAATTTATGTATAGATAATATTGTTGTAATAATAAACAAATTGAGGTATTACTTTATGAACGATTTTTGTTTTGTTTGTCACAGTTTGTATAAGCTTTGTTAGAAGAAAAAAGATGAAAATGTGATATGAAATAAATTGAAAAGTTAAAATAATATAGAAGAATTCTGAATAGGAGATGTATAAAGCGTAAGCTCTTACTGTATTTTATAAGAAACTTCAAAATTGTTCATAGAGTTGTATTCCTCCAAGACAAATTTACAATGATGCCATTAAAATTGATCCTAGTAGACTATGTAGGTATACTTACTCGCAAACTTCATAAACTACTTGTTGTAACAGATCGGGGAATTTTTGAACAATAGTCACGGGTTGACCAGATGTTAGTGAGACACCATACATGGGTGCAGTTGTATTGTATCTTGTACGACACAGTCTGTTTGGCGACTGACACAGTTCGCGGTTAGCCGGTGTTGATCCATAGTCTCGGGCTAAAAAAAACAATATTTTTGGGCTATTTATTATAATGGTATAGATTTGAATGTTTGGTGCATAAAATATAAATAAAATTATAATTAATATTTTATTAAATTTTCAAAAATAATGTAGAACATTAAATAATAATTATTTATAATATAACGTGTGATCGAAAAGTCGCGCATACCAAAACAGAAATGTTTCTAAATAGTAGTTGTGATAAATAATTTTTATCGGTTATTTCAAAATAACACTATGGGTATTCACACTATGGACATTTAATCTAGACGTCATTATTATATGTATTGTTGATACGACGCTTTTAGTAGTGCTTTGATTATTTCTCTGTGAACATGTCGTTTTCCCAAGACCAACGTGTGTTTATTGTTGAAAATTATTTCGCTAGCCGTTCTTATGCTTGTGTTGTTGATGAAATATCCGAATGTAGCAGTACCTAACAATTCAACCATAACGAGATTAATCGCTCGTTTCCGTGAAACCGGATCAGTTTCAGACAAGAAGAGAACCGGGAGACCTACCGTTTTGACTGACGCTAAACTAGTCGAGGTAAGAAATGTGATGCTGCGTTCACCAGCTTGAGAAGATTATCAGCACACTCACAAATTTCATATGGTAGTGCTCAAAAAGCGACGAAGAAATTAAAATTTCATGCATATTATGTTCGTAGTGTTCATGAATTAAAAGAACCTGATAAAGAAAAGCGCCTTGTGTACTGTAGATGGTTTCGTTCATTTATCGATAGCAATGGAATTGGAGAACTTGACCGTGTTTTTTTCAGTGACGAGGCATGGTTTCATCTGAATGGATATGTGAATAGTCAAAATTCTAGAATTTGGTCCACCGAAAATCTGCATGCTCTTCACGAAACCCCTTTGCACAGTCAGAAAATTGGAGTTTGGTGTGCCATATCACGTCGTCGAATAGTGGGCCCCTATTTTCTTTGAAACAACAGTGAACAGTGTTGTATACCAAGACATTATAACACAATTTATTTTGTTGCTTGAAATCGATGAAGGAGATTGTTGGTTGCAACAAGATAATGCCGCATGTCATACATCCAATAGAACAATGAATTTTTTACGCGAGTTTTTTGGCGAGTGCATCATATCCAAAGGATAATGGCCTCCCCGTTCTCCCGATTTAACACCTCCAAATTTCTTCCTATGGGGTTATCTTAAAGAAAGGGTTTATAAAAATAGATCACAAACATTGGATGAACTGAAGAGTAAGATAACAACGGAGATAAACTTAATCAATGTGAGCGTATTGCACAAAGTGGCCACAAACGTGGTAAAACGGGTTCGTATATGCATTAATGAACAAGGCAGCCATTTTGAGATATATGTTATAAAACATGTTAAATGCATATTTATAAATTAATTTGGAATATTTTTGTATTTGTGTTTATAAATAAAAGTAAAAGTAATTCAATAAAAATACTATTAACAAACACATTCATTTTGATGTGTGCGACTTCTCGATCACACGGTACTTTATTTTTAAAATTAAAGTTATATCATAGTTTATAAAAAATTTTATCTTAATAAAACAATTAAAATATTTACAACTAGAGTGATAGCATTATTGTAATAGGCTAAGGATTTAATTAATTTGAGTAAGTAATACAAATAACAAAACAAAAGAGTCATGTGAGATTCCACTGTCGGGAGTGATAAAGGGATGGTTGAGTGATATTGTTGAATTTATTTTTTAAACTTGAAACCAATGTACCACTGCTCTCAGGAAAAAAAACCAATTCTGATTAAAAGATGTCGGGTAGATCCAGTGGCGCAACTAGGGAGGAGGGCTGTGACTCCCACCTCCAACTATGTAGTTAACTCAATCTTACCTAATTTTCCATAACAAACACTTTCCAAATTAAAATTGTTTTCAAATGTATAATGTCTCCCCCAATTTGAAACTAAAATTTCATGGATATAGTATAAACTTAAGATCAACATTTAGATGAATTAAGAGGTATTTTATCTAAGTGTTCTATAAAACATTTCTAAACAGCTTAGCGGGTCTTTACAAATTTTATATTATTTCTTTCAATAGAAAATACAAACTTCCAGGACATTTATCACAGCCACTTAGACCTCGAGCAGAAGAAATGGTATCTATATTTTTAAACACTAAACTTGCTGATGTATTCATTACCTACTTACCAGTTCTACTAATAGTGTATTCTTCATTGTGATTATTGTATTTGTAAGTTTTTAAAAGTGTCTCCCGCACTGTTTCGGGGCTAGGTTTAGAATCAGCGTGGAAAGCATCGCGCCCTGTTCTAGATGAACCCCAGTTGTGTGTACGTCTGTATGTGCCAGCTACTATTGACCTGCAAATAGTTGTTAAAAAAAAAACGGTGAAACAAATTGTAGGTACAAATCGTTAATACTTTTTTAAGTATGGCAATTTTCAAGAAAACGTAATGATATTATTTAATTATGTAATTATGTCTATTAGATTTCGTTTCGCAAACTAGATCGTATCTGATGTGTGTTTATCGATTTTTCACCAAACTAATTTTGTGATTTCATCTTATCGATACGGTATAAATAACATTTTTATAACAATATTAATACTTACTCTGGATAAGGTTTACCATTGGGACCAATACAATCCAGGTTATCGGTAAGAGCGTCACCCCGCAAGTATTTCAATGTTTCACCATTTCCACCACAAAGTCCGGCCCACGTGCACTTGCATAAAGATAGTACATAAATCAGCCGTAATATCTGCAAAAACGAAAGTAAAATATTTTTTAGAGCTATTATGAAAAAAATTGTATAAAACAGTTATTTGTCCATATTTATATTGGTAAATGTAAAGTATTAAGCACACTTATATAAATGGCGCATTTATATAAATAAATTGTTAATATTAAGTTTTTTTTAGAAACTAACATATAAATAATATATTTAGAAAATATGAAGACTAAAATGGAATGAATACAATGAAGACATATACTTAAATAAATCATATTCTTTTGTATGAGTGCATGATAGGTTTTATGAGAAACCTATAATTAATTTTAAACAAAATTAGGTATTGAATTGAGTTTTCAAATTGTAGTATTCAAATTTCATATATAAACTGGTTTTTGTATTCAACTGATATTAAACAGTTCACTGTCCGAAATATTATGTATAATCAGGTTTTACCTACTTAAGGTTTTAACGCGTAACGATTTATTAATATATATATTATATATATATAATATATTAATTTTAATCTAATACTTGAGGAATGGATTGTAATATGTTCTTTATAAAATTATATTAATAGAGTTCTTTTAATAAAAAAATAAGTATGTTTTTAACGTAACGTTTATCGTTTTCAAGTAAAGATTAATAAATTAATATTTTATATTATATTATACTATAATAAATAAACCAAATTTCTTTTAAATTATTTATTTATATTATTTATAGTCTTTATTTGAAGAACATTATAACATAATTATCGTGGTAGAAATAAACAAAAATACAATTAATAGAAATAGAAAAATCAAAATCAAAGGAGCAAGATGAACGATAAGGGGTAAAGAAAAAAAAATGTTAATGCATAAAAGTATAAAATTAAATGTTGCACCTAGTTAGAGTTTATAATAAAGAAAATTATAAAAAAAAGCATTTAGAAGTCAAAAAGGAGTAATCAATCAGATTTTCTCGAGAAGAAATAAAAGAGCACAGACTTACGTTTGACTGATAAGGATGATTTAGTTTTATTATTAAGTTTAAAAAGGAAAAATATTTTCAACATAAATAAAATTTAGAAATGTGCGTACCATTAGCTGTAGATACGTAAATAGATGCTTATTTTTTAGGGGGGGGGGGGTAGAATGGACGCTATTGACCTTGTTCAAAATGATTGAGGCTTAAATAATGTGTAAAAAAAGGATGAATAATGGTATAAAATGGTATATACCATAATATCTTAATTCATGGTTACTATAATACAATTTTTGGGGAGATGATCGCTCCTACCCCCTCCTCCCAATTACGTGCTTGGATGCCCCTTGTTGCATATAATGTATGAAACAGAAATATTATTTATGTTTTGATGAAGTGTATTTAAAACCTCGTGAGTTGAAATTGACTCCGCTCAAAATTTATAAATAATAAGGATACGTATAATATCAAGTAAATTAATTTTATTTTCATGATCAAACAAAATAAAATTTAAAGTTAATAAATTCATATTAATATATAAATTAGATTATAAATAACTATAAAACTAAATCATTTCGAATTAAAACTTGAAATGTACGACGAACAGGATGTAAACTTTGGAACTGAATAAAAAAGTTTAAGCATGGCATGATATATTTTTCTCGTCTTTTTATAAGATCGTGTCTTAGCGCAGTAAAAATAATTAGTGTATATACTTATAAAAGGATTTCGAATAGATGGAAAAAAATCATTAATAAACATTACCGACGGCCGTATAGTTATATCTCGGTATGTGTTAAAAATAATAGCGATTGACCTACTGCTGATGTTCAATGAGTAAAGACACCGTAGTAATAATTAATCGTGTAATTAGAAAACCGACAGCGATATTGTCTCCCGACTTATTCGGAAGTACCTACATACATTATTGCGTGCGTGCGGGCATGTGTGTGTGTGTGTGTGTGTGTGTGTGTGTGTGTGTGTTTATGTGTTTGTAGTATAAATTCGGACCAAACGGTACGTTTAGTTATAATTTTTTGCGTATATACGATACTAAAAAAACTATAAAATGGAAATGTGTTGATAATAAACGACAGAGAAAAATAACACCGCATAACGGTACCCACTACATTGATTTTCAATTATTTTTTCATTTGCCATTTCCGATACGCGAGAAGAACCATTATATACGAGTATATATATTATATACAAAATATTGTACATCGATATCATTGCAATTCCGAGGTGCGATGCCGACCACAGTGACTAGGACATTTTTAGCGATGCCGGTTTGAGAAAAAATCTTGAGAGAAAAAAAAACGACGTGTGCAATTTAAATAATATCCGCACGTACAAGTCACTTTGGAACGAGAGCGTTTACAACCAGTACCCGGTGTAACCTTGACCGCTACATAGTATCGTTACGACGGTTTTATATCATTACACACGCGCGATCACACACATTCAAACAAGTATTACGCGCATACAGGGTGATTTTTTTATTTTTTTTTTACCGTGAACCAAATCTAAAATGTAGGATAAATAAACGTGTGTGTGTGTGTGTGTGTGTGTGTGTAGGGGGGGAATATGTTGAAAATATATAAAAAATGTACATCCTCTTTCGCCTGTCGATACTCTATGCGAATTGTACTGTATTTCTGCGTACAAATGTATTTGTTATAAGATTAAAATGAAAAATACAAGCCGTAATCATTGAAATCAAAATTCGACACAAACGGAGGTCGTTTCGAGTACTATTAACATCATGTACACACGTGAAAAACGAACGACGCCCGGGCCACGACGTGCGTTTTCCAGCGGAGACCGCGAAACGACGCGTAGTCGCTCTGTATACATCGACGATGGACGGCCGTCCGGCTGATCGTAACGGGATCGAGCCGAAGAGGTGCGCGCGCTCGTGCGCGCGTGTACGCACGCATAATGTAACCCACACGCGATCGGGCGCAGATCGGGCGGTATAGATATGGGATAACCCACATAATATTTAGTGACGGCTACGGCGACAACCGTCGTCGGCGCAATCGTGCATTCGTAGCACGCGCGCGGGTACACTGTGAGCTGGGCGGCGACGGCGGATACCTGGACGATGATTCACGACAATCGCCCGAGACCCATTGACCTATATCCTTGACGTAATCGTTAATATTATTATTATTATTATTATTATTATTTGTAGTAATATTCTGTGTACATTGTTTCGCCGGAACTGTGTCGGCGGCACGGCGCGCACTCGCTCGTATGTACCACTCGTATCCGTTGGTGTACGCGGACGCGAATCAAGTTTTGCCGGTTCGACCGCGCGCGCGCGTCGAGAAGCGTTTTACGCGAGAACGGGACTTAACAACGCGGATAATCGCGAACGCACTCCGCGGACTCGCGCGCGTCCGCACGATTATTTTATCACGCATATCGTACCATCATTAGCCGTACGCGATCGTTTGTTCCAACTTCTGTGTAACGAAAAACACTTGGCAAAACGAATTTTTCCACGGAACCGCGAAATTTTCATTGAAATACGTTTCTGGTTAACAAACTGATATGGTTTTTTTTTGTGTTTAAATAATAATGTTCGCAGTTCAATTTCCCAGCCTTACTCAGGAGACGTTTTACCGATTTACGCACCGTTTGAGGGAGGGGGCATAGGGGCCGCCATGCCTCCCCTAGGACTTTTCTGTTCTACTGGAGGTTATCCAAAATCCTACTATAGCAGTGATTAGTTGATTTGTTGTATAATTATCATTTACTCGTAAATACTATTTTGATATGATAAAACGGTATTAAATGTACAACAACTTCTTAATGAACGTATCGTTTTTTATTTAAACTGAGCTTTGATGTTCTTTTTAGAAACAATCCACTGCGAATTAGTATTTTTATTCACATTTTAACTGTGATAATTTTAAAATTTTATATGGTACCTGACAAATGTAATTATATATATATGGGGTTTGGGTATGAAATAAATGTAAATGACATACAGATACATGTAAATGAGCGATTTTATACAAATGAATACAATATACAAACATATATGTATACGTACCTACATATACTTGGACTAAATGATATCGCCCACCTGAACAAAAATCAAAGCCACCTCTGGTTAGAGCAATAATTACTATTACAATGTAAATAAAAAAAGTTATGTTGAAAAAATACTACAGCGATCATATATTCATTCTGATATTTATTTTTATTATATTTATTTACCTATATATATATATATATATATATATATATATATATATATCTCAATCGGTATTCAATAAAATCATATATTAAACAAAATTAAATATATTTCCTAGGTATCAAAGAAATGAAAAAAATTATAAATCTAGTTCAAAACAATGTCAACCCTTAAAAATGCACTTTTCAAAAAAATCTCTTCATCTATAGGTAACACTATATTAAATTTCAGGTTTATATTATATTTTCGACTTTTAAATGTAGTGATCAATGGGTGAGTGAGTGAATGAGTGAGTGAGTGGTATTTTAATTTATATAGATATAATAATATACCTATGTATTCAGAAACTTTGAAAAGTACAGCAAACCAAAGTTTCGAAGACAACAAGATACTTTCGATAATATTTTCGTTGCATATTTTAGCATACGTTTTAGTAAAAATGTGTTTTTTGAGTGAAAACGATTGTATTTCTTTTCAATGGATTTCTTTCAAAGTAACGACGAGTTCGTTATTTAATTGAGGTACAACTGTATTATACTCGCGAATTGGTGAGATATTATCGGACAAGTATTAAGTATTCGCAGTCGTTGTAAATATCCATTGTAAGTGCAATTACATCACGATCTGTTGTACCAACGGTTTTTTTTTTATATTTCCGTTTTCCGACCGTTGCGATTCCACGACAGTTTTCGGTCTCGAAGGCTACAGAATTAATGTGTATGCCGTGAACGTGCAACGTTGGTGTGTAAAGTGAACCGAGAGAAGATATCCGTTAGCCCTTAAAGTATAAATAATTATATCCTTATCGTGGTTTGGCTTTATTGCAGAACGGTATTCTGACAAAAAAAAATATATA